TTTTGAAAGATGAGCAAAACTTTGGTTTTCACACTTGAAAGCGATGCCAGGATTATATATTGAAGGTATTTTTAAACCCTTTCACTGCACGTCTGAATGATTGAGTCTCGTAAAGTTGTTCTAACTTTTGAGTCTGTGGATGAAATCCTGTGATGTGACCATTCAAATGAAACCTCTTTAGTAGCACTTTGACATGGTACTATTTATTTAGTACCCACATGTAGCAACAACGTTTGAGTCTATGGATAAAATTCTATGGTGTTACCATGCAAATGAAACCTCTTCAGCAGTATTTTCACAAGGTTACTGTTTATTTAGTACGTAATTCTAACATTTGAGTCTGTGAATGAAATCCTGTGGTACGTGTTACCAACCAAATGAAACCTCTTCAGCAGTACTTTCACATGGTACTATTTATTTAGTATGTAGTATGTAGTGTTAATTTTTGAGTCTGTGGATGAAATCCTACTGTGTTACCATTCAAATGAAAGCTACTGAGCAGTACTTTCCTGTGATACTGTTTATTATGCTGTACAAGGTGGTTCTAACTTTTGAGTCTGTGGATGAAATTCTATGGTGTGACCGTTCAAATTAAACCTCTTTTGCACTACTTTCAATATTTCAAAAAATAAAATTTAGAAATTTTGTTGAATTCTGACTTTGGCCACCTTTGCCAGTGAAAGAGAAAATCGTTAGAGCTGTCAATACACTGATTACACATATTTAAAGCATTTTGACTTATCGCTCGGCAGCCTGGTTTTAAACAGAACGGAATCTGCCCTAAACTGCGTTCTCAACAGCGGCATGTAACCATACACTCTGACAAAAAAGTTGATACACTCGCTGCGTTCCTCGAAGTGCGTCTTGTCCTCCCAAAGGGAAACAGGACAGTTTGGACAAGAGAATGTCCAACGTGAAGTTACCTGAAAAAAAGAAAAAAAAAACGGGATTGAAAAGGTGTTTAGAGTGAAAGTCGGGGAGGGGGAAGGACTCCCATTTGAAAATGACGGAGACACTCCAATATTTTTATCTATAAAGGTATCGCTTAGGGTTGTGGGTAAGAAGAAATCTATATAAATACTATTAATAACCAAAGGTTAAGGGGTGTGGACGAGCAAACGCTCTAGCTCTGTGTTTCGCGAAAATTTCACAGGATAGGTGACGCGCATGCTCAGATAACGAGCGACAAAAAGGTCCTTTTAAAAGGGTCCTAACGTGCGTGATGATCAGATTACGTTCAGACATTCCATTCTTTCTTAGTGGAAGTCCGATGCACATTCAAGGCCACACACTTTTTCAAGTTATCTGCTAACAAGTTGATAATACAATTTCTTTTTCTCCACTTTTAAGTCAAAGGTGTTTACTTTTGATTTCAATGGCTTAATGTTTATTGTTCCAGCTAAATTTAATGGTTAGTAACTAACTGTAGCCCCGCTTCTAGGCTTTCCTAAATTTTTGTGTTGGTTAGTAATACCTTGATGGGAGGTTTGCGCGTGATATGGGAAACCAAGAAATTCATGGCAATATCTTCACAATTCATGTACTCATCTACTTTGTCTCTGATAACTTGTGGCATCCAGTGAAAGTATAGATATGCAAAGTACTGTATAAAGGAGAGAAAAACAAACAATAAAACCTTTACAATCTGTAATATTTTCTTTAGCCAATTTTAGGCGTTCAGGAAGTGGGGACAGCGCAATGGGCAGGATTTCTCTCTGATCTCCATTTTGCATCACTATCCACTATCTTCATATCTGAATCTGTTTATTATTTCGAGTAAATGCAAAAGTCGTTTTGGAATTTAAATAGATAGTGCAATGAAGTAAAAAAAAAACTACAAACTATAATATGTTGCTGGTAAGGGTTTCATCAAAACCTGGGACCTGGGTACCAAGCCATATGCGAAACTCAAGTTCTCTTGCATCATTTAAGTCTAATTTAAGGACTTTCTTGTTCAAACAGGCATTTTGTTAGTTGCCTGTTATGGACCATAGAACAAGTTTTATTTTATTTTATTTTTAATTTTTCTCTATTATTATTATTAGTAGTAGTATTAGTATTATTAAGTTTCAGATATAGGTAATTTCATGTACATTTAATATTAGTACCATGTTATTATTATTATTATTATTATTATTATTACCAACACCAATATACCCTCAGCACCGTACCCACCCTCAAAATAAAAATTGGAGAAGTCTACTCTCAAACCAACTCGCCAACTTTCTCTGCCTACTCAATAGTGGGTGCCCTTAAATAGTGACAACCCTGTGCCGGCCCCAAAAAATTGGGGGTCAATTTAATAAAACAAGTGTAGCTATTGTTTCCAGACTCTAAAACAATGGCTGCATTTGTAATCTACACTTGTGATATATAGTTGTATTAAATTGAACCCAGGTTAAAGACAGACAATAATGTCCAGAGCAATGCTAAGGCTTGAACCTAGACCAGCAGATCTGATGCGACGTGTTCATGGCCCAACCAAAAGGCTTCCACCAGGGCTTCTGTCGGGTAAAAACCCATATTTTTCCAAAGATTTGTGTCCCCAAGGTCCACAATGCTGACAGGAAATTTTAGTTTACTGTGGCATTATACTTTTAGAGTGGAAAGAATGCATTAAAACAATAGACTAAACCAATGACCAGCTTACAAGGCGTGGGGGAGGGGAGGGGGGAGGTGGTTGCAAGTTTTTCAATATGAATATTACCTTGGCTGTCTTCTTTAACCTGTTAAAGTGATCGCTATTTAATTTCTCCTAAGTAACACTACAACGTAAAGGTTGTGACAAGAAAGGAGACAAACAGTAAGTGAGAAAGGTCTTGATTTTCCTAGAGGACATTTCTTCATGAACAAGAGATCTACCTGTAGATTTTTATATTAGGGACTTTTCTTAATTAGTATTAAAATTCTTACCTTATGGTAAAAAGCAGCACCAGTCAGAATCATGGAGAGTTCACAGGAATACTCTGAGCTATACAACCACTGATTGTTCTCTGTATTCCATGCATGGAATCGACCAGGAAATCCCACAATACGATCTCTGTTTTCCCTCCAGACCCTGTATTAAGACAAAATTTCAAAAGTGCTTGTGTTTTTAAAGACCTGTCATTCACATATCAGTATGTTACAGGTCAGATTTGTCCAGGCCAATTTAATTTATTTAACCTCCGTATAAAGTTAAACAAGCCCAGAAAGAGATAATGTTATTAGCCAACATAAATCTGGTAACTTCTTAAACAAAACACAGTCCTTAGAAGGCCTTAAACATGAATTGGTTCGATTTAAGAAAGGGTTTACTTTATGTGCCATATAAAAGCCATTCAATGCAAAAAATGAAAGTAGGAACATGACTAGAAAAAGACAGGAAAAAAATTCTTATGCCCAGGTGTGAACTAGCTTGCACCTATCCATTGGCTTAATGACCTCAGAAACCCTTACAAATCAGACAAGAAAATGACAACATGAGGCATTTCAAAAAATTAATATTCAATAAATTTAACACTATGTCATGAAGATCACCCAAGTCCATTCTTGGAAACCAATTCAACATGATGTTGTTTGAAAAGAATCACTTCTCTCAAACAAAGTTTGAAACACAAGCAGTGAAAATGAATTTTAAAAAAACCAGTGAAGTTACTCATGGAAGTTACTCATCTTTTGAAGAAAAATGAAACTAATTTAGCTTCAAAAACATCTTCTCATCATGCAGTGGCCAAACATCAGGATGTGGTATCATTAAAAGCCATTTCCATGACAAACCATCCAGGTAATTTTGCATGTTCATAACTTGTTTGGAGTTGAAATAAGCAAAAGGTCGAGCTAGAATAGGCACTGCCTTGCAGCCCAACAAATTACACAGACTTACATGATATGGCCAGCAGCTTGATAGAAATGAGAACACAAACTGTACATACCTATAGGCCAAAAGTATTTCATCATGTCGCATTTCCACATCATCGTCGATAGCAAAAATGGCATCAGTTTCAATGACATCATATGGTATGAAGCGGTTATTTAAACTGTTCTTGGCTACTTTCACCACCTGTTGAAAATAATAAACTTAGTATGTATCATCAAAATGCTGGCCTGTTCCAGGCATTCAGACTGTGGGGAAGGTGCAAAAAGATGTGAGTAGGAAAAACAGTGAGGCCTGGGTAGTTAGGGGTGAGAGTGAAGGAACACCCGTAGTACATTTTAACAAAAGCTTGTTCCGGTAATACATCTACCAGAATCTTACCCTATGAATGATTTATTTTGACAGCTCTTGTCAACACTCGGAGGTCCAATACCTTGACTGGAAATGTGATGTAACAGTGATGAGTTCATCCTGTTATCTTTTGCAATGGATGGCAAGGATGCAAGACATGGATTGAAACTTGAAAAACTTGGGCCAATTTTTTTTATGTTTTAATGCTATGCCTGCAAACTTCATTTTGCTACTGCTGCTTCAAAAGTTAACGTCAGCCCTGGGGCTTTTAATAAAGGGCTAGGGGCTGATGCTCCTATGGCTACAACAAGCTAAACCCCACGCAACTTTGAGAAAAAGGAGATCATAGAACATAAAGAACTTCCAGAGTAACTTTTCAATCTCTGCCTACAAATTGCAAATACCAGGCAACTTGAAATCTCAGTGATGGCCCTGCTAACAACTTTCATTTACATCAGTATCTTTACTCACAGAAAGACCCAGCCACCTGAAACAACCTTATCACCGAAAACTAACTTACAATACTTCTAAAAGTTTCTTCTTTTTCACAATCCTACATTTTAAAACCATGAACTAACTGTAGGTAATCATACAAGTTATGCATGTAAGCTTGTATCGTCTGTCAATGTCAATAAAGATGTAACATGCCACACTACTTACATGAACAGGGACACCAATATCTGGCCATCTAAGAGACAAGGAAGGTGGCTCAGGGCTGTTCCACACAACAACCACTTTATTTAGGTACTGTAACCCAACAAGACGCTGAATAGATTCTATGAGGACTAATTCCCTCTGATATGTCAAGATGACAACAGTAAATTGCTCAACTGGATAATTTCCACCCAAAGCTTTGCTGAACTCAACTCCAGCCCCACCGGCACCTTCGCCAATGAGTTCAAATCCTTTACTAGAATTCCTAAAAGGTGCGGAGGAAGGGAAAACAGGGTCAAATGGGGAGCTTGGGTACATCTGAAAGGAACCTGGTGGTGAATTCCAAAAATTGTATCTATCCACAACAGTTGCTGTAAAATTCCTAACAAAGGCTGGAGATTCTAGAGGAAGTCCAATCACTGCATCTGGATCTGGTGAACTTGTCACAGGTATCCTAGCATCACTAAACACAGAAGACGTTGGAGAGGATGGTACAGGGTGAGCAGGAATTGAAAGACGTGTCCTTATAGTGGCTAACATTGTTTTTAAAATAGCATTAGTTGTTGACAGGTATGTTTCCCAAAGAAATCTACCCTGCCAGCGTAATTGAAGTATGTCTTCATTTGTGATTGTTCGAAGTAAGACATTTAATTCAGGAACACGAGCTGGTGCAACGATAATCACAGCCTTGTGCCAGTCAATCATGTCATTGAAAGGAAGCACTGTTCTACTTGAAAGTACTACTGGTATGGCACCACATTGCAAAGCTTCAAGAAGCCGTATATGACAATTATCCCAGTTAGAGTGCTTGCCATGTGAGCCTGCGATTAAAGTAAATGTTGATTGATGGAGAACCTTTGTTCTATTTTCATGTGATCCCCATAGCAACCATTCACCTTCTTCATTTGAGTTAAAGCTCCCAGGCTTCAATAAATATAACTCCATAAACAAATCTCTGGCCTCCTGGGAAAGCTCATTTAATTGATCACGTAGAACTGCCATTGCTTTTGTGACATGATCAGTATGCATGGCTTGAAAACTCAACAAGTATTTTCTTCTTGCTGGGAGCTGAAGAGAGGCACGACTCCAAGCATCTCCCTTTGGAGGCCCATTTGAAGGTGGCAATACTATGTCAAAGCCAGGGCGAAAATTAACGCCATCAGGGAATGTTGACTGTGCAATTAATGCAAGTCCAGTGTTAATATCCGAGGATGGAAAATTAGACGAGTGGTTGCTTGCTTTAATTGTTAAATATAAAATTAAATGATTTCTACCATTTCCTCCCCAGTAAGGCAGAGAGTGCAAATCAGATTGAAATTCAGAGTTACTTTTCCGTGTCAAAATTTCCTCCGTCAATCCAACAATAACTATATACAGGCAGGCTTTCACGGGTTCTGAAATAAAATAATGACTTTCCTTCAACAACTGCGAAATTATCATGGTGTCAGAGTCAAACATTCGCTGACCCAAAGGACGCTCATATACGTAAACAGGGAATCCTGAATCAAAAGAACATCTTGAAAAGTCAAAACAGTTGCGTAACTGGCAGTTTGACAAGATTCTCTGATCTGGAAGTGGACTGACTTCACTTTCAGAAGGAACTGTAAGTCTCTGAGGCAATTTCAATTGTGGCAATTCTGGACAGTCATTGGCTCGCACTTTGGCAAGTTTAATTAGTTCTAACTCCCTTTTAGCTCGGACCACATCTGAATGATAATGCTCTGCTTGAATTCGCGTTCCATCCGCCTTTTTCGTAAAAGTGGATATGTCTGTCAGAAGTCTGTTCTTTTTTCCTTCCAGCTCTCTCAACTCGTTTGTCAGAGAAAGCTTAATTCTTTGAAGTTCATCAACTTGATATTTCAGATCATCAATGTTATCTAACAACAAGTCGAATTTGCCAGCGGGTCTGTCTAATTTCGATCGCGTTTGAAAGTGGTCCATTGGAGTTCTTTCAGAAGGCACAGTATGTTTTCCTAAATAGTAATGAGTTACTAACGGCACAAAGAGCGCAAATACCAGAACAGACACAACCAGTCTGCCAAGCGACGAGTCCTTCAGCTTATAAATCAATATATGCATTGTACCGAAAGTTATCTTCTTCTTCGATGAAGGAAACTATTCTTTACCACAAAAGGAAGAAATAATGCTTCTTGAAAGGAAGGTGTTTGCCGTAAAATGATCCACTGTTCGAGGGAAATTTAATATTCCGGAAACATCAATGTCTGTTCTTTAAAGATAATTCGTTGAATGAATCGACCCAATCTGTAGCGACGACAGTACCAATCGTGAGTCCTTTCAGTAGAAGACTGTTAAATACAACTCCATTCCTTTTCGCTTGAAATGTCGTCGAAAGGCGTTTTTCAAACGATGAAAAATCCATATGGCATGCCATCAAAATCATTCCCACCGCGAAAATGAAATTTAAGCCGGGCCGGCAAATGCATCCACACGTTTTCGTTTCCCCTTCTTACTTGAGAAAAATTATGTCAATTCATTGCCAATTTAAATTCATATTTTGTTAGATTTAGAGGCAACTTGTCCAAGGCTTGGACGAGAAAACAACGGTAAAAGACCACCAACAAAAACAGCTAAACTTTTCAAAATAGCGCGACGGATGGAAGACGTGATCTGATGCGTCGAGAAAGACTGGAGCGGGTGACATTAGATACCGGAAGTAAAATACAATGAGGAACAGGAAATACAGCACAGTAAAAATCCCTCAGACGGTAAATCTGTTACCATGGAGTTGCACAGGTAAATTGCCCTTTAACATTTCACCGCAGTCAAACGAGAGTAAGGCTTGCTTGCTACTTTTAGTGTTGAAAGGCTTTTAATTTACTAAAAGTTTAGAAAGTTTACTGAGAAAGTTATCAGTGTTTGAAAACTGAAACTGATGTTATGGTCAGCTCCATTTAATGTTATTCGGGCGCGAGCCTTTTTCAACCAAACGATGCTCAATACTTCAACAAAAGTGAAAAGATAGTACTTGTCCATGTTTCTTCTTTCGCCCCATGTAAGGGAATCCGGATTTCGGGATCCGGGAAATTTTTGCATGTAGAATTCGGAATCTTTGGCCTTGGAATCCGGAATACAGCTGTAGGAATCGGGAATCCCACTAACAATTGGAATCCGGAATCCAAATTCCTCTGAAAAAGATTTCGAATCCAGTAGCTGGAATCCGGAATCCATGGCGTACAATCCAGAATCCAAGACTGCCTTGGATTCCTTTTCATGGGGCGACTTCTTATTGGTGAATAAAATCCCAGCAAATAACCAAGACGTTAATTATTGGCTTGAACGTTTTCGAGGGGTTGTGGGGTTCTTATGCTTATGCTCAAGGTGCCTTTCTGTAGGGGGTTCTTATAAATCAAACGAATCTTACTATTCAGGGATTCTTACATCCCGGGTATTCTTACGTCCAGGGATTCTTACATCCAGGATATTGTTGCGTCCAGGGATTCTTACATTCAGGGTATTCTTACGTCCAGGGATTCTTACATCCGGGTATTCTTACATCCAGGGATTCTTACATCCAGGGTATTGTTGCGTCCAGCGATTCTTGCATCCGGGTATTCTTACGTCCAGGGATTCTTGCATCCAGGATATTGTTGCGTCCAGGGATTCTCACATTCAGGGTATTCTTACGTCCCGGGATTCTTACATCCGGGTATTCTTACATCCAGGGATTCTTACATCCAGGATATTGTTGCGTCCAGCGATTCTTGCATCCGGGTATTCTTACGTGCAGGGATTCTTGCATCCTGGTATTCTTACGTCCAGGGATTCTTACATCCAGGATATTGTTGCGTCCAGGGATTCTTACATTCAGGGTATTCTTACGTCCAGGGATTCTTACATCCTGGTATTCTTACGTCCAGGGATTCTTACATTCAGGGTATTCTTACGTCCAGGGATTCTTACATCCGGGTATTCTTACGTGCAGGGATTCTTGCATCCGGGTATTCTTACGTCCAGGGATTCTTACATTCAGGGTATTCTTACGTCCAGGGATTCTTACATCCGGGTATTCTTACGTTCAGGGGTTCTTGCATCCGGGTATTCTTAGGTCCAGGGATTCTTACATTCAGGGTATTCTTACGTCCAGGGATTCTTACATCCGGGTATTCTTACGTTCAGGGGTTCTTGCATCCGGGTATTCTTAGGTCCAGGGATTCTTACATTCAGGGTATTCTTACGTCCAGGGATTCTTACATCCGGTTATTCTTACGTCCAGGGAGTCTTACATTCAGGGGTTCCTACGTTGAGGCGTAATTACATTTAGAGGTTCTTACATCCAGGGGTTCTTACCTCTAGAGGTTCTTACGTCCACGTGTTCTTACGTTCAGGAGTAATTACATCTAGGGGTTCTTACATCCATGGTTTCTTGCGGTCGGAGGTTCTTACATCAAGGGCTTCTAATGCTCAGGAAATGACATAAACACTGCAATTGCAAGTCATTCATATAGCACCTCAGTTATCCTGCATTTGGGACATCACCTATGGCAGATTATCAATGTTGATTTTAAAAAGCGGAGAACCCAGAATCGAGCCTTCCTCTCTCATATATGGACAAAAATGTGCACAAAACCGAAATGAAATTTTTCCTACGCATAAATTGACTGGCCCGCCAAGATTAGCGCGCACTAGCTACCTGCAGGCCCGTGCAAATTTGTGAAACTTAATTTGGGGGAAAATAAAGATTATTCTTGTTGCTGTCGAACGCATCCAATTCTACCTGACTGAAGTCTGCCGGCCTGAAGTTCACGGCCTGAAAGATTCCCAAACCTCCAAGTCGTCTCAAAGGGCAGCAAGGGATACTGTGTTCGGTGCTGTTAGCCGTAAGCCCTCAACAAATCTAAGAACATTACTGTTGTTCACTTGCTTCGTATCCATCGCCTAGGCGCCTATGACACGAAAATATTTTAAAGCGTCTATGTATAATGATTTTTTTTATTTCCATTCTGGTGCTCCATAGGACACTAGTTGTTTGTTGTGTATTCATAAGCTGGTTAAGCGTCGCTAGTTGGCACATTTTCATGACATTTTGCATTGGAGTGTGCGCGTAGTAGTGATAATGGCCTATTTTCATTAGGGATCTTATGATCTCTGCCGGGATCTTCTCTGCAATGTGGGAACGAACTCGGATGACCCTTTCCAAGCTGATAGAAACACAGATGTGAGTAGAGACCTATTCAAAATTTGGGTCGTAACTGGTAGAATCACTGGTACAGGTTCCCTTAACACGCTGTTAACAACAGCCCGGGGCGTGCAATTTGTCATTTTGCGGGTGGGGCCTTATTGGCGGGAAAGATGACACGACGGCGAAGGTAACGATAACGTCGTAAAAGCTGAATAGAGGGTCTCCAATAAGTTTTTCGGGATGCGGGATTTCCTTTATTTGAGGCTCGGGATTCGGGATTTTAAAGCGAAATCGGGGCGAGATTCGGGATTGAAAGTATGCTCGGGAGGCGGGATGCCAAAGATAACCCTCGGGGTTACGGGATCGCCCGAAATTTCGGGATTACGGGATTGAAAAACCGTACTGGGGACCCGCTGAATAGGTTTAAGCCCCATCCACACGAATCCGAATACTTTTGAAACCGTATACTTTTTTATACGGTTCGGCCTCCGGCTCCACACAAAACCAGTCAATCCTCTCACCGACACCAAGAGAGAATCATTCTCTCTTGCCGACACCGCATATTTTTTAAACCGCTCTTCAGAGAGGATATTTTGGATCCGACGGTTTTGGTGAATTTGTGTGGACGACAGAAACCGCGATATTTTTGAAGTCCACTACGCAGGTTCGGTTTGCACATGCCTACTAGAGAGAAAATAGCAAATGTAAATAGCAGTGTGGATTGTTGAAACCAAATTAACCCAATTCACCACACCGAATTCGCACCGACGGAAGTCAAGTATATAACTATACGGCTTCAGCTTATGAGAAACAGTCATGTGGACGTGGCCTTAGGCCCTTAGCCTGGTGTCTCCCTCTCGCACGCCGGGCCCGTTCTTTCTTACGCCCACTACTTCCAAGCGCCTGCTACGCAGGCTACTAGGCCCTGTCCACACTAAAAAAGTATGCGTTTTCGTTTTCATCGAAAAAGCATCGATGAATTCGTGTTCACACTACCGTTTTGATGCGTTTTCGACTGTCCGCGCTAAAACGTTCGAAAACGATAGAATTGCACGGTGTGACGTAAGTTGAACTTTATGCGCATTGTACAAAAACGCGCGGCTGTGATCTTTTTGGTCATCGTTTTCAATTTGAAGCGTTTTCGAAACCGTTTATCTAGACACTAATGATCCACTTTAAAGGCCGTTTTCAAAGCAATGCGTTCTCGATAAAACGTACGCTCACCGCGTTAGCGTGGACGGAAGGGCTAAGCGCATTGAGATGTATACTTTTTCAAACGAAAACGTTTTAGATCCTGTCCACACTAAGGGCCTGTTTGCATGAAGGTCGGGGACCCGAAGTAGGCGAGGTAACCCGCTTAGGTGGGCTAACCCGCCTGTTCATACAATCTGATCACGTTTACATGATAGTTGGGGTGACCAGCCAAGGCGGGTAGCCGCGTCTGCGGGTTACCCTCTCAGCAAGGGTCAAATTTTGCCTTGTAAACGTTTCAAAGTGGGGTAACCCGCCTAGCCGGGGTCGGATTCGTTATACATCAAATTCGCGCAAAATTCACTTTGGCGGTGGCTTTCCATCATTATTTTAAAGGGTAACAGTAGAAAGCCACAGCACTGAAGGTTGCAGCAAGGGCAGCAAGTGAGTGTAGAAGATCATTAATCGCCAGAACATGTGGTTTGCCAACCTTTTTCTTGTTTACGTGCTTAACGACCATTCAATAATCTTAAGAAAGCGCAACCTGGGATAGCGGAGTTGTAAGATCGCTTTAAAGACGGTTTTTCTTTAGGGACTGTGCAATAATTATCCGGAGGGGGGCGAAGAAAAACTAGAGGGGGGGGGGGCATTACATAAAATTGCTACCAAGATAGGGGGAGCTCAAAGTAAAATCAGTCATTTGACGGAGTTAAATGTGAACGTAGTTCGAAATGTAAATAAAATTAAACGCAAAAAAAGATTCTCAATACAGGCATCATGATAGACTGTAACAAATATCAATACGAACAGCTGTTAAACGATTATTGAAAATATTCCATCAAAATGAAAGGCAAATTCACGACTGATCAATTTTAACCTGTCTTCTAATTAATTGAGCTGATCCTATGTAAAAAGCAAAAATCATGAACTTGTTTTCAGCTTCCCCATAAAACAATGGGAATCAAACAGATCTCGTAGACAAGCTTTGTCGGTTTTTGATGTTAATAAAAGTAATGTTTCTTCATCGACTGAATCGATTTGCTGAATTTCATATATATCTGGCTCAAAAAAAGTTCATCAGGCTCTCCTCCCATAGATCTAAATATAATGCAAGCTCTGTTTCGTCTGTTATTTGAAGCGTTCAATCCCCTGTTCTTTGATTTTTTTTCTCTGCTCCTTTTTCTTTCTGGCTTCAGAAGTTTTAGATTTTGAGCCAATGTGGTAAGCACCCCGGTACTTAGCAAATGCTTTGTCTAAATCTTGGGTGGGTGGGGGTTCGACGTTATTTTCAACGTAACAGAGGGGGGT